CAGGGCGTGCGCCCCCCCCCCCCCCGCCCCGCGTTCTTGCCAAGTATGCCTACTCGGTTTACACGAAAGCATCGGGCACACCTTGCAATCCAATAATTATATTTCGAGATGGTTTTAGCCATTGCGCTTCACGACGCCAGCGTGCTTCGGTGAAGCGGTTCCGAGCAGGGTTTCGAGCCAAAGTGACGCTTTCAAATCCCGCTCTAAAATCAGTGTTGGAGTTGAAGTTTACGCCACATTTGCCAGCGTTTTCCTTCCTTCCTGTCGGCGTTGGTGTCCCATTATTTTTGTCCGTTTATTGTATCATTCTTTCTTAATGATGTCAAAATGTGGCATGCGTGGGAGTCGACTTTTGGCAATTCTGGCAGGGACCCTCCGCCGGCCCGTTCCCCCGCACCTCACCCGGAGCTCCACAGCGTCTCAAGTTCAAGGTGGTGTTGGCAAGCCAAGTGGAGGAGCTGTAATCTTCAAACCAGCCCACTCCTCTCATACTGACGTGTTTTGTTTTTTTAAGTCAAGAAAAACACAAGATTAGTACTTTACGGAAACGGCTCCTGCTTCGCCTGCAGCCCGATCCACCGATAACGCTTGCCAACACAGAGGAGGGGGGTGTCAATGCAACCAAACATATAAATATTAATAACCCAGGAGGAAGAGTTTGAGCTGGGGGTTGAGGAGGGGGTGGGGGAGGGTTCAGGCGGCTCTCCTGGAACTCGGCAGGAGACGAGGTGTTGTTGCGATCGTTTCACGGTAGAAACGCAATTATCCTTCATCCAAGACCGGATGCCTTGAGGGCCGCCGAGCGGGAGCGAGAGTTCACGTTCCCCGACATCAAATACGCGCTCGCTTATCAGCCGGTTGACTTTGTTCTTGGAAAACAAAAGCGTGAGTCAAGTGCCTCAATGCGGAGACAAAGACAAGCGCGTCCCTACAGGTGCTTGCACACAAAGCGGGAAAGCGACCTTGGGATGTTGCGCTCCCTCCACCGCCTTGGGCCGCATGCCCGCTCGCGCCTGGGTAGGCTCTCGCGTTCGGGTTTCGAGTAGGGAATGGCACGCCGGGTCACAGGACCGTATTTCAAGCGATCGGGTACTCACGGAGGGTGCGGAGGGAGGACATGGGGTCCTCCCTGGCAGTAGTTGGCGCTCCACTTCGGCAGTTTCACACATCGGCGAATCATTGTCTGCGCCAGAAAGAAAGGTCCTTGTTTTGTAATGGTCTCAAATGGATTGAAGGGATATTGTGCTTTCAGTTTGTGATTTCAAGTCGGGCGGAGGCTTTCCAATTGGGGTTCAAAGCTTGGCTTCGGCTTTCAAGTCCAAGGTTAGAGCTTTGAATTGTGGTTTCAGGTCAGGTTTTGCCTTGCAAATGAGTGTTTACATCTTGCTTCGGGTTTATAGCTTTTATCTGCAATTTGAAGACAGGGTCAAGGTTTCCAATTCGGATTTCAAGCCTGGGTTTAGGTCTTCAAATCAGGGCCTGAAATTGGGGTTTCAAGCTTTAGCATTGGTGGCTTGAAGCTAAGATGTGGGTTCCAAATTCAGGTTCCAAGTCCACATTTAATTTTGCCATTTGGGTTTTGAAGCCTGGCTTTCGGCTTTCGAGGCTGGGTTAGCGTTTCCAACGAGTGTTTGAAGCAACGATCCGGAATCCGACGTCCGCTTCCAAGCATACGCGAGGGTGTCAAATGTTCACTTTCATTAAAGGGGGACTTTCCTGCAAAGCTTTGGATGAAATTCATGTTCAATCAACCAACTGATGCGGGTTCCTGACTCGACTCCCTCGGGTGCCATTGCGACTGAATGGAGGGGAACAATTCCAGGCAAACAACATTCTGTGTGTGTGTGTGTGTGTGTGTGTGTGTGTGTGTGTGTGTGTGTGCTATGCACACCAGGCCATCCTTTAAACCATTGGGGTTCATCCATAGATAAAGCAAACAAAGAGGGGGGGGGAAGAGCAAGGGGGGCAACTAATTACCTCCCAAGTCCTGCACGGAAGGCATGGAAACCCGCCTCCTACCTTCTCCGCGTCTCGTGTGGAGTGCCTCCATTTGCATTCACATCACACCAAAGTCCCCCTCTCGAGCCCGCGATAATTGGCTTGAAAGCTTCCCGTCTCCCCGTCGGAAATCAAGACGAGGGGCATATCTCCGCCGAGAGGCTAAAAAGGGCAGGGCGACCAGTTATCCAGCCCCCCCCCCCCATCCTCCTTGTAATCCTGCCGACAAGCACCCCTTCGGAATGTGCACGAGGACCTGTGGCCGCCCCTTCATCGAGCGTCTTCAAACATCCCCCGTCAAGCGCGAGGCCCTCGTCGTCCGTCAGAGGCGCAATGGGGAATTCCCAAAGTGGCATTCCCGGGATTAGAGGGGGAGGCGAGGGAGGGGGTTGTGATTGAGAGCAGGCGGCGGGGAGCAGGTCAGGGTGACCCTCGCTCACTGGGACTATGGATTCCTTAAATCTGCATCTTAACCTGGTTTAGGCTTGCAAATTAGAGATTTGGATAAGAGTTAAGGTTTCAAGTTAAACTTTTGAAGCCAAGGTTAAGATTTTAAGCAAGAGGTGCGCTTCAAAGTAAAATTCCAAGTAGGGATGGGCGAGGACCGGTTCCGGGTATCGGGCCGATACCAGGCTTGCTTTAAGGTATCGGGTTTTCGTAGGGGCTGTTGATACGAGTCACAGATGCCTAAAATCAGAAATCTGACATTGTGTCAGTCCTCCTTGGCAGTAGTTGGCGCTCTACCGCGACAGTCTGACGAATCATTGTCTGTGTCGGAAATAAAAGTCTTTTGGTCACAATATTTGTCATTGGAATGGAGTCTTATACTGCATATTCAAAGTACTAGAGGGTACTCGGTATCTGTGAGTACTCAGAGCGAATACCGGTATTCGTGTTTCATGGCAGGTTTACGGTTTCAAATGAGAGTTTTGACTCAATGCTAGCATTTCAAATTCGTGTTGCAAGCCCAATTAAACGCTCCAAACAAGAGCGAGGCTTTCAAGTTACGGTTTTGAGACCAAATGTGGGTATTAAATCTAAGAGCCTCGTGGATATTGTCATTCATCCAGGTCATTTCTTCCTTTGCGTTGACTCATTCGCAACTGAAGTGCTCCCTGAACAGGGAGTAAGGTTTTCAGTTCAGGAGGTAGGATGCCCGTTAGGTCCGATTAGCTTTCCCGCAGCTTTTCGAATCAAATTCATCCGTTGTTTGTTCCCATGACCCGGATGACTTGGGTTTCAGCCTATGTTACACATTAGAATTTCAAATTCAGGCTTCAAGTCAGGTTTAGGGTTGGAAATTTGGCTTCAATTCAGCATGACCCAAAGATTGACAACTCTAATATTCAACTTGATACGATTACTCTCTGATATTGTTAGTAAAGGTAACGAAATCGATTCCGATGACCTGCTACCAGAGAAATCGAGCAATTCAGAAAATTATGATGATGCAAAGTCATACTGGTGTTGGCGCACCCGCAGTGAAGGAGGCTGGGTGAGCAGAGGCTCATTTGCCCCCTTGAAATATTCGACTTTCCACACCGCTGAAAATTGTTTTGTTTTGTTTTTTCCCGTCCCTTCCTTTTAGTGCTGCGCGACGACTTCCGGCAGAACCCGACCGACGTGGTGGTGGCGGCGGGCGAGCCGGCCATCTTGGAGTGCGTTCCTCCCCGAGGTCACCCGGAGCCCACCATCTACTGGAAGAAGGACAAAGTGCGCATCGAGGACAAAGACGACAGAGTCACGGTTGGTGCCCAACGCCAACCTCCTCAATCAAATCCCTGACCTCAAAAGACTCAAACGAGCATTGTTGTTTCAGATCCGCGGAGGGAAGCTGATGATCTCCAACACGAAGAAAAGCGACGCCGGCATGTACATTTGTGTGGGCACAAACATGGTGGGAGAACGGGACAGCGAGACGGCACAAGTCACCGTGTTTGGTAAGCTTGATTTCCACCCGTCTTTCTCTCTGCGCGTACGTTTTTGATGTACCGTCGACAAAAACATGACAGATGTCAGGAAGGCTAAGCGGCAAACACCCGCATGCGTGTTTTTCGGCATTTGCAGAGCGACCGACCTTCCTCCGCCGGCCCATCAACCAGGTGGTGCTGGAGGATGAGACGGTGGAGTTCCGCTGCCAGGTGACCGGAGACCCCCAGCCCAACGTTCGCTGGCGGAAGGATGACGTGGACGTCCCTCGTGGGAGGTAAGAGCTTCGAAATCAAGCAGCCACAGGAAGCGCAAGTCGGGTGAAAATAGCGCTCCTCCCACTTTTGTTAGCCTCTGCAGAAAGCAGTTTGCGGCTCATTTGAAAGAATTTCCCAATAGCAATCGATCAAAGCGCTGCAATTTGATCCAAGTTGCCGCTCGGAACTACAACGGCCGACTTCCTGTTCCATATTTGGCATGGGTCCTTCAGCGTATTCTATGCGTTCATTTTCACACGCGTACTTGCGAGCTAAAGTTCGGTGGTGGGAGTCCCTGCACCTAAATGGCAAAGGGCAGCGTCAGTGTCACAAGTGGACTGAAACAGGGATTGCCTCACGTGGTGATTGCATCACCCTCAAGGCTAAAGCGTGGGCGGTGTGTTTGCATCTGATAAGGGTTGTTTTTTTTTTTTTTTTTTGTGGGTTCACTCACTGTCTGCCAGGCCTTTTTTTTTTTTAACGCATCATGCCAAAGTAAACAAGCACGGAAAAAAATTGTACACCAGTTGATGAAAGGCATTTGGCTCTGGAAACGAGTCCAGAGAGAACGATGAGAGGGTTTTTTTTCTTGCAGGAAAAAAAAAAAAAGACAAAACCACATAAAACAATCATACCAGTCAATTGCAATAGAGTGAAACCTCAACTCAACTGTATTTATAGAGCACTTTAAAACAACCATTGCTGTCTACAAAGTGCTGTACATTAAGCAAATTTCATACGTACAACAATAAACAATAAAACAATAAATTAAAAAAAGAACGTGATCCATTGCGGACTTCTGTAGGAAGTCAGCGAGGTTAAAATAATTTTTTTCCAGTTCTCTGGCTGTTGCCGTCATGATACTTTTTGACTGCATTCAAAATAATTTTAAAAAAAATTAAACTACCAAGGTTATATAGCAGTTAGGGGGAAAAAAACAAAAATTGGAAAAAAAAATCATTAATGAAATAAAAATCTCCCCCCCGACCCCCTACAAAGTAAACCGAACTGAAACTTCATCTTGAGTTTATAAAAGTAACTTTTCAGGGGATTTATTTAGATATTTCTGTACACCAGGCCCTGTAGAAACAAGGTCCTCTTTTTTTTTGGGAGGATTGTCGTTCACTACACAATCTCATCTCACAAAATGTCCTTTAAAGCATTTCTTTGCAGAAAATAGAAATGATCAAAAAAACGCCAATGTTTATACTTTTTTTTTTTTTTTTTTTAAAGAACACTAGAAAGGAATAATTTCCTCTTGGTTTGCGCTTTACTGGAAAAATGTGGCGCCGCCATTCAAAAACTAAAGAGGACACACTGCTTCATTTCTTTGCCGTTCAAATCTTTGTGAAGGAGGCAAGCTGGAGCCTCAGCTGAGTAAACAAAAGCGTTCATGTTCTCCGCCGCTGGATGTCATCGCAACGTTCTCCTTTCACGACCACCGTCTCCATTGGAAGACATTTGTAATTTTTTTTTTTTTTTTTTTTTGGGGAAGGGGGAGGGGTTGGGGGAAATATGATAACGGGCCAGTTGCTGCAATATAATCAGAAGCCCACAGAGGATTGCAGGCACGCACGCATGCAGAAACAATTAAAAACGGCAATCTGCCACACGTCGGGGAAAAGATCCATAAACGGCAAATGAAGTTGTCAAGTCATAACAGATGCTTTATTTTAACGGCCGGCTGATCTTATATCTTCCTCGCCGGATGCGAGGTCTATTATGGGATGGCGGCGAACAAAATCGGGAGGGATAACGCTGCGCCTGCAATATTAAAAAAAAAAACACTGCTCATGTGATAAGATGGCCCGTCTTTTTGGTTCTAATTGCACGTCCGTATGAGATGAGATTTGGATCTGGAGGAGAATCGTCGAGCGGCTTTACCGCGGCCCGCGTCTCAAGGCGCTGCGAGATGTCGATGTGGCTTTTAATAGGCTTCACGCTCACCCTATTTTGGCAGCAATTGCTGACAAACGACGGCATTCGATTTGCTCTGCATTAGCTATCAAACCCATCAGAACTGCTCCAATGTCACAGATGAGTGGGCCACTAGTTTTTGTTCATTTACTTCTTTTTTTCATTTCCCCCAAAAGTAACATCTGCTTAGACCACGCCTTCGTGGCCAGAGCAGGATAGACAACCGGTCTAATGTGACATATTTCATCCATAAATTTGTGAGCACCGGGCATCAAACCATTTTGAGTCATTGTAATATCAGTCTTTCTCATATCATACCCCTGGGTGGCACAGCTATTGTGCGGGGGGTGTCCCAAGTGCCCACTTCACAGCGCAGATGTGCATCCACTTGGGCGAGACTCTAAGGTGTGATTTATGCGCCACATTTAACGAGAATGACAGGAGCCACTTTGGTTAGCCATCATTGAAATCCGCTGTGGCCATTCCCACAGCGGCGCAGCCCTCCCTCTCCCACTTGTTTGCAAAACTCTCGACTCAGGTCTCACCCACGCCTTTGTGCAAAGATAGGCCACATTTTACGACATTCACCAACATCGAGCCCTAATCGCTGACACGATGTAGGAAGTGCCGCAGCCACCGGTGAAAATGCTTGTATTGTCTTCACGGGCCGTGAGGAGAGTTTTGCATTTGAAAACTTGATCGGGGACTTTATCCCAGTCCCACCTCCGCGCACCGCCGTCAGAAAAGCGCTTCTCTCGTCTTGGCACTCGTTGACATTCCGGCAATGACGTGTTGGATGATTGTCGACTTTGCTCCCAGGGCGCGTGTGCGTCTGCGCCCGCTCGGGAACGGCGGAAAAGAAGAGCCAAGTTGGCTGTGCTCTGCAGTGGCATTCCGGCTCTAATGGAAAACAGAGTTGTAGGCCAATAAAGAGCTACTGTTCCCTTGTTGTGTCTGCTTGCGTGCGGCCACAGTCAGCTCGCAGGGATTCCGATTCCAATTTGGAAGATAACGACAACGTTTGGCTTTGATCTTCGGAGGCGAAAACAACGCAAAGCCCAAGCGCAAATGAGCAGATCATGGTCAAAAGCTTTTCATTTCAATTTAGTGGGCGAATGAAAGCGCGAGACACGGTTCTCGTTCCGCAAATAAGAACGAGGTAGCGTCGCATTCGCGCCTGAGAGGTTGTTGGCAAATTGTTTCGCAAGATGCCGCTTTCTGCTCTCTACAATACTTCCACTGTATGATCTCCTCTGTCTGAAACAAAGCATTCAAATAACCATTATGGCTTCTTAAGTACCTGCGCGGAGAGAGGTGGAGCTGACAGTCAGCGAGCAGGAATGCGGCCTTTGAAAGAGAAATGTCACGCAAAAAAAAAAAAAAAAACCCACACATTCCAGGGATTGGCGGCACAGGCTTAGCTTCTGTTGGCATGCGGCCGACAGGATCGCGGCGTGCCGTGTAAGTGCATCGTATAGGTACGACTGCACGTATGGCTTTTCCAGCTCCGGGGGTGGAGGGGGGGCCGGTGGGGGTAATGGACCGCGGTGACAATGTTCCGGCAAGTATGGCCGCAAACTCCGCCTTCCCGCCAGATGCAATTGTCTAAAGAATCACCGGCGGTAAACAACTTGACTTTGCGACTTTGAAAAAAAAAATGCCCTCCATCACTGTTTTATTGACTACGTGGAATGAAATCCCACTCCCATCAGCCAAAAGCAACAACGCACAATAGAACGTACTCTCTTGTGCCGCGTAACTTGTGAAAACACACACGCGTTATTGAGATTCATAGCATCGTAAATCCAAATAAAGCTTTTGTGAGTTCGAAAGGGGAATGAAAACTCGTTTCCGTACAATTATGTACACTTCGGGTCGGTACGCTTGATATTTTTGGTGGCTTGTTATCGGGTCGGAAATGAAGTCCCTTTGTGCGTGCCTGGAGAAAAAAAAAAAGACTGAAGGCGCAAATCCACAAAGCAGTCCAGTGAAGCCATTTTTTTCCGCCCTCTTTGTAAAGAGTTCCAATTTGCAGTGTCGGAGTACACTTTGGTTGACTGGTTGGTGCATGTTAGAGGATGTCTCCTCAAAATAGGGTTTGCTTCAGCTGCTATGTCATTTTGGAGTGGATTATTTTTCTTTTTTTTTTTTTTACAAAGGGCCATATTGAGTTCTTGCTCACCAGTTGCCGTATGCCCTCGTGCAATTTGATAGGGCTTATAGAATTGACGAGTTGGTAGAATGGCTGCCTTTTTCCGTTTACAGTCACCAGTTGCCGTATGCCCTCGTGCAATTTGATAGGCTTATAGAATTGACTCGTTGGTAGAATGGCTGCCTTTTTCCGTTTACAGAATATCTTAAAAAAAAACGAGTAAGTGGTACATGTTTTTTTTTTTTCCATTTCCATTCCAAAGTTCCCAAAATAGGCACTGAAGTCTGTCCCAATTTGCAGCACGCCTTCTTTGGGGTTGTGCTTGCAGTCGTACATTTGCTTGAGTTTATTCAAATAATCATAATGTATATTTCAAAAGAACATCAAAGACGCGTGACAGTTTGAGAAAAAGTAATCAAAACACAAACATACATTCATCAACAAAACAGAACAGTTTTTCACATCCTGATTACTTGACTTTGGAGTCAGCCAATCCTCCATCACACGTCTCCAGTTGGTCCAGAATGCCGCTGCTCGCCTCTTGACTGCCACTCGTAAGAGGGAGCACAGAACTCCTACGCTGGCATCCCCTTCAGTCGCCCATTTACGGATTTGTTTTCAAATCCGTAAATGGCCTCGCCCCACATTACTTCTCGGCGCTCCTCCGCCCACACACACAAACACACACACACACAATTAAATCCCCAGATGAAGGCGTTTTCAACCCTGACGCCGGGGGCCAAATTGACCTGTTTTTAAGTTTAGGAATATGAAAAAAAAAATGGCTGTTAAAAGCCTGACATCTCCATCGTCAAGGGTTTCTGGAAGACAAGAATGTCCCATTTTTGACAGAAGAAGAAACACTTGACTGCACCACGTCGCTATCATCTGCCCGCCCACGCAACAAGCGAACCCTGGCACTCGCGGGAAACGCACGCAGTGCTTTTCGTTGACTTGATTCTGTTCACTTTGTCCCTTTTGTGCGCATCTCAGTTCAGTTATTATTCCGAATGAAAGACGGGCGACATTTGCCAAGCCGGCAGCGCGACCAACCCCCTTCCACCCACTTTGCCGCACGCTTATCCTGTCAACAGCGTTGACAATGCACGCGTATTTAATTACGACGGGCGAATTGAAAGCACTTTTGCCTTTTGTGCGCTTCCTCCACGCATTCAGTCAGACCTTGACCGCCGTTGGCTTTATGAAGATGCACCACGCGCTCTCTGTGGGGAAAAGAAAACAAGAGGAAAAAAAAACAAACAAACACTTGATGAATATACGAGCGAACGTCATTGAATAATTGATCAACCGCCTCGCGATCTCCATTCGTCACAATGAGCAGGAGGCCATCGGCGGACTTTGCATGTCCTGTTTTTGTTTTGGAGAGCTGACATTGCATCCGTTGATCCCGACAGGTACGAAATCAAGTACGACAAGGACGACTACGTGCTGAGGGTGAAGAGGGCGTCGGTGAACGACGAAGGCACCTTCAGCTGCGTGGCGGAAAACCGCGTGGGCAAGCTGGAGGCCTCCGCCACCCTCGTCGTCCGAGGTAACCGAATGTCATTGGCGTCCAAGGCCTCGACTTGGTTTGAATCCCCGAGCTGATTTCTCCCATGAAGAAATGATTTCACTTCTACACGAACTCAAACCAGGATCGTGTACATTTGTCGGCCGTTCACCTTCTCGGGTTTTTATGTTGGTTCCACCCCTAACTTGTCTCAACGGCGCCTTCGCAGGGCAAAACCCAAATGTCAAGGTTTGCATTGACTGCTGACGCCCGCAAGCCCGCAAAGATGGCGGCATTTTCTGAATCATTTGAATTGTTTACATTTCCGAAGTGCCCCACTTTGCCCCTCCCTCCTTCCTCTTCTCCAGTTGTCGTCGCCTTCGCAATCTTCCAGTCGCCGGCGAAGCCATTTCACAGTTTACTGGCGCACGCCGCCACTGCCTCACCTGGGAGTTTGCGGGGTTAATAAAAAGGTCCTAACCATAATTTCCCGCCATTGTCAGCACTCCCGCCGCCATTAAAGCCGACGTGTTGGGAGGTCCCCACGGGGGGAGGGGGGGGAGCGCTTAAAGGCGGCACGAGGATGATGCAGGGGTGCTGCACAGTTCTTCTGCAGGCCTGGTTCCTGGGAATCTTGGGATTTGAAATTGAAAGAGCATTTTTGCACCATTGCCTGGCTTTTTGCAAACCACACGTAGCATTGTAGCATTCATCGGCGTAGACAGAGAGGGTCCAGCGGCTGGCAGCTTGGGTCGCCAGAGGCCGCTTTCGGCAGACGATTCAACCCATCAAAGCTCTGTACACTGAACCCCTTCGTGAAAATATGTGAATAAGTGAAACTTATAATCACCTTTTCATGCCACAAGCTACATCATCGAAGTGAGTAAATCATGCCATCACTTCAACATAGTTCCTGGACACCAAGGTGCCTGAAGAGAAATCGGTGTAAAACATATATACATAGAGAGAGAGAGAGATTTTTAATCAGCCATGGGTAAATAGCTAAGGAGAGCTTCCTATTAATAAAAAAAAACAAAAAAACAAACAAAAACATCAGCCAAGAAGTAAATTCACAAATGGCAAAGCGTGAATTTGCGGGATTCACTGTGGTAGATTAGCTCTGTACACTGAACCCCTTCGTGAAAATATGTGAATAAGTGAAACTTATAATCACCTTTTCATGCCACAAGCTACATCATCGAAGTGACTATATCATGCCATCACTTCAACATAGTTCCTGGACACCAAGGTGCCTGAAGAGAAATCGGTGTAAAACATGGGTAAATAGCAAAGGATAGCTAACAATTAAAAAACAAACAAACAAAAACATCAGCCAAGAAGTAAATTCACAAATGCCAAAGTGTGAATTTGCGGGGGTTAACTGAAGTAGATAGTGAATACAAATTGGACCTTCGCTGTCTTGCTTGGTTTCAACATGTCATTCATTCTGACTTTGATTTCTTTTTTTTTTTTTTCCTTTTTTGTATGTTTCTCTTCTATTTTTGCTGAACGTTTGTGTTTTCTTTCTTTTTTTTTCTTGTGTGTGTGTGTGTTCACCCCTCCATTGTCGTGTCTCCAGATGGCCGCGTCGGTAAGTAAGCATTCTTCTGATTTGACTCCATCCCGCATGCCCTCTTTGCAACCCAGTGCACTTTACTTTGAACACTTTTCCCCATGCCAGAGGACCATTTGCATTTCTATCCCATTAGATGTGATTTTCACCCCTTAGGAAATAAACAGAAGTCGCAGTTCAACCTTTGAACTTGTGTTTCCTGTCTGTCTGTCTGTCCTTCCCTCCACTCCGAAGGATATGACTCGTCATGAATTAAATATGGACACCGCACCGATCGTTTTTTTTTTTTTCTGGGTACGGTGACAGGATGCAGAATCTCCCGTGTCATTAATGTGTTCCGAATCAAAACAGTCTCAGCTTTCCCTCAGCCGAGCTGTGAAACGATCACGCGCTAACAACGAGCCCCTTCGATCGACCGCTTGTTCCAGCCCGGGCACAAAGCAGTCAAAAACAAGACCGTCCTCATAAAGGAGTGTAAGGACGGCCGTTGTCAACACTGAGGTCCATGCAGGCGTTTCGTTTGTGTTGATTTGAACGAACCGTGCACAGCAAAGAATTGGTCAGAAGCTAAGGAAGCTATGCTAATCCCGACGCCGTTTGCGCTAAATGCTAGCGGAGCTAATTATGACACCTCGTCCTGTGTCGCAAACCACGGGAATTTAACTTACACAGCATAAGAAGTATCCTGGCTGTTTCATCAAGATCAAATCATGTCCTTTAGTAATAACAAACCAGTTGAGCATAAACAGGATTTCAAAGTTGCTAGTTTACGGTGAGTGTAGCACGTCAAAGTGTCCTGGCTGCGCCGACAACATCAAAGACCACTCCAACATGTCATCTTGGGACGTTTACGCTCTTCTACTTCTCAGACGTCGAGTGTCCCGTCAACATAATTACAAAGTTGTTCGCGTGTGTTCCAAATATGACATACTGTGACTTTCAATGAACACTAGCTTTTTGTTCGCAAACCATCATCGATAGAAATAGGACAAATCATGAAACATAAGATACAGTATGTAAATACTATTAAATTGAGCGCCGACCTGCTATGAAGATGGCTTCAAAAAAATAAAAAAAGAGAGAGAGAGAGATCGTGAGAAAGGACAAGACGGCTGGTGGCAGTTTTTTATTTATTTTTTTTAATGTGTTTATGGATGCAGTGTGTGGGATGGCGGAAGGCGAGGGAGGCAGCTGAGTCCTCGCCAGAGCGTGATTTAGGAGCTCAGTATCAGTCCCGGGCTTTGAGAGCCACAAGATATCCACGCTGCATAAGGCCAAGCGAGAAGGCTGTAAATCTGCGGCCATCTGTACCCTTCCCAACTGTGTGTATCTTGCACAAATGCAACACACGCACAGATACACGCGCCGACGGAGGGATTACACGCAAAAAGCAGCCAAATGGGACCGAGTTGGGCCTTACTGGAACCAGCTGGCTTGTCAAACTTGAGAAGTCATAAGAAGAAATGGGGAAGGGGACACGATGTTGCAGCGCACCCAAGGTCTCCTAAATCTACTTCTCATCGCAATGTACACAATCCAGTCGGATGTTGAGAAGCACCAGGAGTGGAACAAATGAATCATTTTCATGCGAGTAGTCAGTTGTGCGATAAATGAAAGAGTTTTCCAATGAACACAGCAGTCGGATGTCTGGAAGAATTCTGGACCGAATGAGGATTCCAAAAGCGTTGACAGCGAGGTTTTGATCAAAAAGAGATTTATGAACAAAAAACGCAAGACCGACAAAGTGCAACAAAGGACGCTGGGAGCAAAGAACCGGGCAAAGGTGAGATCAAACCAAAGGCGCTTGCAAAAGGTCAGGAACGAGATCAACGTAAATTGCTTGTCAGCCCAAAGGACAACAGAATCCAATCCACACAAACTTAGAATACAGAACAAGGAATACTTATGAGAACAAAAATACGATGAAACAACGAGGCAAAACGTCTAGAAAATGAAACACTTGGAAACAGAGTTGTGAGCAAGGCTGATAATCTGACAGCCGAAGTCAGCGTGGCCTGGCTTTCACTAACGAGGCCAGATTCAACGATGGAGACGAGTGCCACAGTAACAGACACTGAAATAGCAGCGTCGATCGGGAAGCGCTACATCACTTAGAGCGACAGTAACAAATATTTTCAAATGTATATCAGCTTCTTCGGAAATCACAATGTCCCCTCACTTTTGATCGATTCAGAGAGCAGGCCCAGGGACTACTCTGGAGGTCCGCGGTTGCGACCTGGTGCCCCCGGGCCACGCGTCGGCGACCACTGGTCGACGGACTGGCACGTTCGGCTTGAGAGAGAGGCCGTTGGATTTTCGAGCAGGGCGTCTCATCTCCCCTCTTGTTTACTTTCAAAGCGCCTCCGTCGAGTTGTCAGTGGCGAGACGTCTCACTCGGGCTCGATTGGCGATGCGTTACGACGATTCGAGCGGCTGTCAGACGAAGCCCGCGAGTATCGACCGTGCCGGGCTTTTCGCCGTTCGACTTCAAAGTTTGACGCTTGACATGTCAGATGCGAGGGCCGGCGAGCATTTCCTTCAAATTCCTTTTTCGCCAACTCGGACTGTGCCCCCCTTTCGGCACCTGTTTGTTTCTCAGGTGTCAGTGGTGTTTTCTTCCTGATTGTCAATGTGACTGCCATTCATTCTTTGGATGAATGGCCAGCGTGGTTGCCATGGCAACGGTAGCCGGTGTTCAAAGCAAAACCCGGAGATCAGGCCGCATGGATTTTGGTTTGACCGGTTTGGTTGACCGTTCGCCTTTGCTTGAAATCCCGCAGTAACCCGCCACACTGATGTTTGACTTCACTCGGCTCCGCCTTTCCTCACGCTGACATTGCGGTTTTGAATTTCAGCCGCCCCGCAATTTGTCATCCGTCCGAGGGACCAGATCGTGGCCCAGGGACGCACCGCCACCTTTCCGTGCGAGACCAAAGGCAACCCTCAACCTGCGGTATTTTGGCAGAAGGAAGGAAGTCAGGTAAGAGCACCGCACCTCACACAACACCACCGAGCGGTCGTCCAGTTCAGTTAACCGCCGGTAGATTTCAGATCAGGTCAACACCAGTCCTGCTGTCGGTGGCATAGACGGTTTGCCCCGAGAAACGTGGTCCTTCGATGGGGTGGAACCGACTAAATCGTACGCCACGATGAGGAAACACTTGGATTGTCTCTCCCTGCCCTCGCAAATGCACACATCTTCACGGTTCACTATCTGTCATCGGGATCTTTCCTGCAAATGCACCTTTTTCCGCCGGCATGCCTGGCGGAGCTCGGATCGCTTTTTCCCCCCCGTGACCCGCCGTACTGATAAGAACGATCCCATCTCTCACTGGAGCAGTTAAGCCATTCAAATAGCTCGCAACACTTCACAACAGCACCAATTAGGAGCCAGTCGGGGCTTGCCGATGAGCCCGGTGATATGATTCAGCCGTGGCGACGCTTCAAACACACAAATTCACACGCTCGAGTGTAGCCTCCGGGCCGTCAAAGTATTCCTCAGAAGAAGTGCGTGTCGTCACTAGTCGGCGCGATGTTTACCGCTAAACCCCGACATTGACTCACGAGCAAATGAATATTTTTTGCGGGGGGGAAGTGGGGGGGGGGGGGTCTCGCTGCTGCCGTTGAACTTTGGGGGAGGCGGGCGAGTTCCGCCGAGGTGCGATGCTAATTATTGACAGCCAAACCCAGCGTAATTAATTCAAGTAGGTGACAGAAAAGAATGTTTCTTTCCCACCTTCTCCCTCACGACGATAACGAAGTGTTGAACGCTCACGTGCGACGGACGTACTAATTTGTTCAATGTATCATTTCACTCGTTGATTTGTTCCATTCAAGTGGTTTGCACTAATTACATCTCATGTGTTTGCTCTGCACCAGTGAAGAAGCCTGGAGGCACATCACGAATCTGTTACCTTACAACGGCACTTCGTTGTAACCATTTCCAAGAAAATGGCCGCCAACTACCATGTATAATGCCAAGCATTTTTTCTCTCACAAGTCAAATCAGTTCTCGGGTGTGTTTTCCCATGTGGAGGAAGCACTTCTTCACCAAGCCGCCCAGTAACACTTGTATCAGTGCATTTTCCATACGGGGCCGACACGTCACCCAACACAAATACTCCCAGTCCCCAATCGGCAAGCGAGCCGGTCATTATCAGAAGCTGATGCTGATAACGTGTCCTTCCAACAATGGAGTCCTGTGTAGCGTTTGGCTGTTTCCATGCTTGCGAATGACAGATCTTTTTCCAACCTCGTTGCCGAGTGACGGGCCAAGAAACTCCCGTGCGCTGGTGCAAATTTGACAGAAATAGACAGAAAAGACCATTGCTATTCAATTCTTGGTGTTTTCGGGTGGATTCCGTTGACTAATTGGGCCCTTTGTCTGTCTTGCCGCAGAATTTGCTGTTCCCCAACCAGCCGCAGCAGCCCAACGGCCGCTTCTCGGTCTCGCCCGGCGGCGCCCTCACCATCGCTTCGGTGCAACGGGCCGATGCCGGCTACTACATCTGCCAGGCGCTGACCGTCGCCGGCAGTATCCTGGCCAAGGCGCAGCTGGAAGTCACCGACGGTAAAGCTCCGTTTCACTCCAATTTCCATCCCCGTGGCAACGTTAAGAAGTCCCCCAACATTACGAATGAAATAGAAAGTATCGTGTTGAAAAACGAGGCTGTGTGGATAAGCAAAACGGTTCATATTCTTCCTCTTGGTGGCTTGGCAATTTGTTGCTAGGCAGGGTTTGTGAAGCCCTGAAACCCAATAATAATTCTCTGCCGGCCGCGCCCGCACTTGAAGGATTCGGTCGCTTATCGGGCTTTATTTGCAGTTCAACCATTGCTTTGTATGAAGTGTCAAATACATATTGGAAGAAATATACAGGTGGCACCGTCTGGAGGATATTCACTGGTGATAATTCGTGAAAACGTTGATAGCGTGATATGGATGAATTTGAAATTTGATTGGTTGAAGAAACGGTCGTATTTGAATTGGTGAGCACGACCGATTCCGAAGGCGCAGACAGTGCAATACAATATCTGGCGCTTTCACAACACCCGCGGCTGGAACCAAAGCGCTTTCCAGAATAGCGCATACGGGCTCAAGTCTGATTGGGGCAAAAGATAAAAAAGTAAACACCCACATGGGGTATTTAAAGTAAGGCTGCGTCTATTGAATATTTTGGGTATTCAGATATTCAATTCGTCGCCGATGGTTTGGTGGTGCGCTCGCTGGACTTGTGTGTGATTGGTTCCCACTCAATGACGCTGTCTGTGCGTGTGGTTGTGAATTTGCGACTGACCGGCGACCAGTTTAAGGTGTAGTCTGTCTTCTGCCCCAAGTCAGCAGGGATTGGCTTCAGCAACTTCCCCGCGACCCTTGTTCAGGATAAGCGCTGTTGAAAATGGAGGGTTGGATGGATGTTCAACTCCCAAGTTCAATCGAATAATCGAGTAAATGTCGGGATGTAAACTGTCAACGTAGGTCAGCGCTTCTGGTAGCGTACTGTTACAAGTCGGAGTGCAATGTCTGTCATTTTCACACCTCAAAGAGGAACGAAAGCATCGCCCTTGAGTTCAAGTTTAACGATCGGTTGCTTGAGAGGCTCTCTGATTGAGTGACTGCCAACGCGAGAGAGACGACCGTCCTCCCGCCTGGACGGGAACTTAGAATGAACATCCGCGCCGACACGGTAGGAGAGGAAGAACGGGCTGTACAGGTGGGAGGGGGGAGGTCAGGGCCACACCTGCTGTAGCCGCGGCGGCCGCTGCGTGATTTACCGATGGCATGTCCACCGGGTTCAAGGAGACCCGTAATGAGAAATTCCTGATCCGGAAATCCAAGGCCCCGCGGTCCGGCTTCCCGCATTCCGTCAGCACATCCATCAGACTCGGAATGTGGCCCCGGGTTCCCAGAACGCATCCTCATCCGAGCCGTTTGCCGTTCTTACGCAGCCTCGGTGTCAGCCTGGTGGTCTTTCGGAACACTAAAGGGAGTGTCTGGAAAAGAAGCAGCTGCGTCTCGCCGCCTTTGTCTGATTTACATCTTGCAATAATTTCGTACCTCTCCCCCAGGCCGGCCGAGCGGCACGACAAAATGCAGCTGAACTGGATAATCGTGAGCAAATTGCGGTCGGTAACTCACCTGCAACCCGGCAATTGAACCGCACTCACTGTAGGAGGACTCACTGCCACGATAAAATGGCGGGAAAGAGCATTTGGGGCGCCACATACTGCCTATCATTTTCGAGAATCGTGGTGTGATTGTCAAAGAGAGGTCAAGGGCAAAAGTCAGGCAGACATATTTGATCGGCTGTTGGCCTAAAAGATCCGTTCACATTCATAGATTGCACGCGCCCGATGTGTTGCTTTTTCACAATCTGAAAACCAATCTTGTCATTGCACCAAAGGGTGCAACCAAATGGAATAGACACGACCGTATTTGGTGTGTGATTTTCGGTGCACTAAAACGGATTAATGGCATTTCTATTCAGTTCAGTGTGGAAGTTGCTTTGAAATACACGTGCGGCTTTGCTCGGTGTGCGGCGGGCCTTTAAAGCTGCAGTCGAGTTGGAACCATTCCCATAAGTGGGAAGCCTTTTTGCTCTGGTGTTAAAAGGGAAGGCTGTGAGAACGTGTTGAAAGGTTACGGAGGTAGTAGGCTGGCTAATTATCACCCGCAGTTCCGGTGTCATTAATCCACAGTGTCTAATTAATGTGGCTTCTGCGATGATTTGCCGTGGGGGCGGGACTCGGCATTGTTCAGATCCAGTGCGCCGCCGTTCACCCCTGAGTTCACCCTCTGACACGCCCACTCTTTCAAAGAAGGAATCCCGCCACCCCACCAACACAAGCCACGAAAACGATCCGGTACCCGTGGAAGCTGCTTGCATTTGCATCTTTTCTCAAGAAAAATAACGCGATGCTCGGTTCCGGCGTCCGTTCATGGTGCGGTTTCTCCTGTCGCAGTCCTGTCGGACAGACCGCCGCCCATCATCCGCCAGGGGCCCTCCAACCAGACGTTGGGCGTGGACGGCGTGGCCCTGCTCAAGTGCCAGGCGTCGGGGGACCCCATCCCTTCGGTCAGCTGGCTCAAGGACGGCGTTAGTCTGCTGGGGAAAGACCCCCGCATGTCCCTGCAGGAATTAGGCAGCCTGCAGATCACCAACGTCAAGGTACGAAGACCCTTTCTCAATATCGACTGTATCTCTCAGAGAGAGAGAGTGCTAACTAACAAAATCAAAACTGATAAAACTGAAAGAGGTGTAACACCATGTGCATTTACTTTGTATACACACACACAAAACACAGCATCAAGTGGGTTGACAGGAGGACATCTTGAAGAGATGAATAGGCTGCATTGATTTTTGGCCTTAATAGTTTGATGGGATTACTGAGTGGAGCGACAGCTCAAACAGGACCGGCCACTGCGGGCTTGGATGGCCTCCAGCCGGAGTCCCCGCGAAGCACATGTATGCGTTTCTGCACCACACACACACACACACACTCCCCCCCCCTCCCCACGCACACACACACACACACACACACACACACACACGCACACACACACACACACACACACACACACACACACACACTTTTCAAGTAGATTAAATGTAAAGCCCGCACCTTCCTTTCCCCACTCTGAAGCCTCGGCGGAATATCTATTTATGCTTGATGACATGGCTGACGACCACTGACATGTTATTGAATAAATGGAAGGAACACACACAGGCAAAACAAAGCCGTGAGAGGGGACGGACGGACGAGCCAGCTGTCGTCGACCCAGGGGCCGCTGCGGCCGGGCCTAAATGAATTAGCTTTGTTGTGGTCGGCGCGACGCTCGGCGAAATGAGGAGAAGGAGGCTGGAGTGCTGATGGAAGGGCGCTGAGTGGCAAATGAAATTCATTAGGAAATTAGCGTCAGCGCTGGCAAAGCGAGATTCGCTCGTAAAAGTCGCCGCCGGCGCTTTAACGGCACTCGGACGCGAGTGTTTCTGAGAAGCGCTTCGCATCCGTGACGTCATTGGCGTGGAACACGGCGGCGAATGGGATTTGAGTCAAGATGTTTGATCACACGGACTGATACCACTTTTAACGCGTAAAATTTCACTTAACACAATGACAGATCATTCTGCGCAAGCTTTCCGGCGCATGTGAGAATTTGCCCTTGTGTCAAACCGCCGCAGTGTCGCGTCTACTACGAGCAAGGATGACTTGTTTTTTATTTTTTTGCTTTTAGTATATCGGTGGCTGGGATCAGCAGCCTTCGCGTGTCCTCAATACATTGAATTAAGGCCCGTATTCTACCAACTCCAATAACTGGAATGGGTGCTGGTCCATCCCTAACATTAGCGAGACAAAATGTCATCTTGTTGTTTTTGTTTTCTTTTCAAGCTGTCTGACTCGGGGATCTACACGTGCGTGGCCACCAGCTCCAGCGGAGAGACTTCATGGAGCGCTTTTCTTGAGGTCAAAGGTACGTGGCGACTTTCTGACACGGGTTTGAATTTTCTCAGAGTGCATTGATGCTCAACTCTAGCCAAGGGATGTCCAAACTACGGCCCGGGGGCTTTCTGCGGCCCGCCATCCATTTTCCTGCGGCCCGTGACTTGACAAAAAAAAACATATCAACATCATCCTAAAAATGACTTGCAAACCTAACTGTCGTTTAAAACTATCTTGAAACCTTAGCCCTCGTCTAGAAACCCTCATCCATGTTGAAATTAGGCCAGGTTTCTGCATACTAGCCCATCCCGACTCGAAACCCGAGCCTTGAGTTGAAACCGAAACTTGAAACCTTGACATTTTTTTTCATTTTGGTGCAGATTTGATTATTTTTCGGATTCGTTTTTTTTTTCTTTTAAATTTCATGAACAAAAAAAAAGTTTTTTTCCCCCTGTGCTAGTTTTAGTTATTTGATTGGTTTTCGTGAACTACGATAATCTCGACCCCTTGTTAGACATGCTACCCAGCCACAACACCCCCCCTCGGCCCCCCAATCCCCCAAACTCCCAAATCTAGCCTTCGAGGACTTCCTTTTCGGAAATGTATGGTGTGACGTTGTGCAGAAGCTGGCGGCGCAACGCTCCCAAAGAACCACGACGACGCCGACCTCCCAGGCCCGCCCTCCAAGCCGCAGGTGACCGACGTCACCAAGAGCAGCGTGTCTCTGTCCTGGCAGGCCGGCTTGGCCGGCGCCTCGCCCGTCGGCTCCTTTGTCATCGAGGCCTTCAGGTTTGTGCGCCGCCTGATTGATACGCATGGCGCACACGCAACTCGTGATCACATTCATTGTTGCGCAGTTTGGCCTCTTGGTTTTGTGGATAACGGCACCTTTGACAGTTTTTTTTTTTGCTTTTGCTTTTGCTTTTTTTTGGTCAGAATAATTTCTTTACAGATGTACAACAAATAAACGCGCTCTGAGGTGACCATTGCTTCCGCTATGGCAGTGGTGCCCAAACTACGGCTCAGGGGCCATTTGTGGCATGCCATCCATTTTTTTTTTTGCGACACCAGCGTCGTCACTAATACGACCGCGCTTGTCATTTCCCCTTCACAGCCAGTCGGTGAGCAACAGCTGGCAAACGGTGGCCGATCACGTGCGGACCACCCAGTTCACCGTCAAGGGTCTACGGCCCAACACCATCTACCTGTTCATGGTCCGAGCAGTCAACGGCCAGGGCGTGAGCGACCCGAGTCCCATGTCGGAACCTGTCAGAACACAAGGTGGGTCGGCATCTCCGGCGAGCGTTGCGAAATAGGTCGGAACTTTTGCAGAGGTCAAACCGGTCCATCTCGGCCCCCGCCTCATTACGGCCGACGCTTAAGCAATTACGTGAAGTGAGCACGTCTCCTCTCGGGTTCCCGGCATGTTAATGAATATAACGGGCAGAAAGCACTGCCTCCCGGCACGTTGGAGATTTTATTACAGTGGCGGCCGGGCCGCCGTCTCCTGATTACATTGAGATGATAATCAGTCTTTGGGCTAAATGCCGTCAAGGCGAGTGCGTGCGCTTCATAAAAAAAGATGAGCGCGTTTCGACTTTTTCATCCTCGAGAAGGGAGAGGCTTCCGAGTGATAGATAGATCTGTTTATTGACACTCGCAATTTTTTTAACAGCGTTTTTTTTGAACCCGTCTTGTGTGATTGCTTTGGATATGATTTGTGACTTTTGAAAAATAATCTTCTTCACTGATGGGGGTTTTTTTTTGGGGTCTGTAAATTAAAAATGCAATGAAAAATTGCATAAAGAAGTGGAAAACGTCAGCAGGTATTTGGTTCATGTTTTTGTGCAGTCTGATGACGAAAAACAATTGGGATTGTTTTAAAAAAACAAACGATTTTGATACATCTTTCCTCACAACTTTTTTTATTTTATTTTTTTACTTGATGATGCAACATGCATTTGGCCATGAACATTTCTGGTGCAGTAAGGAAACAAAATGAAGATGTTCTGTCATCCATAGGCGAGGCTGCGCTCTAGTTTTCCCATCTTTCACACTTCTGACTTGTACAAATTTAGTATTTTTGTATTTCTGTATTCAGCCCAAATACAGACACAGCTTGTCGTTGTTAGCCGCTCGCTGTGCTATCATCGGAAGCACCATGACAGAAAAGGTCAAACAAACGCCTACTGTGCCATGCTGCACTTCTTCGTTGAAACTGATTTACTGATTTTTTTTTTTTTTTTGCGGGGGCGGGGGGGTTTACTGAAACTAGAGTGAAACTTGATTAATCGGTGACATTGTTGGTGGGTGTGGGGGGGGGGGTTCGGCGCGGTAGAGCAGCAGACTGTCAAAAGTAGTCTGTAAATTGGCGGTTTGGAAGACGAGATGTCAAAAAGACACGATTAGCCGACATGCACGCGGAGTCGTCGAGATGACAAATGGTTGCGACCCCTCTTCTCTGTCTCTCTCACCCCCGCAGACATCAGTCCTCCGGCTCAGGGCGTGGACCACCGGCACGTGCAGAAAGAGCTGGGCGAGGTCATCGTTCGCTTGCACAACCCTGTGGTGTTGAGTCCCACGGCCATCCAGGTCACGTGGACGGTGAGTTCACGGCACCAAATGCGGGCGGCGTTTTCTTCCGATCTGCGCGTTGCGATACGGACGCAGGAATTCCTTTTCACCCTTGGCCTTGGTGGAGGTCCACGCTCTAGCGAGCATCATCAGAAGTTCACTTGTGTATGCTGATTACGAAATCCAATGTTGTCAACCAAGGCTAACAAGCCCGAAAAAGTCAAATTAAGGTTCAGTCCTGATTTCACGTTTTTTTTTTTCTTCATATCGATCAGACACACTTCTCCAACCATTTTTAATATCACTCAGAGACCACCCAAGAACATTCAAAATGCCGTTTTCAAATGACAATTCAACTTATGAAGACACAAAAAATCCAAACACCCCAAATATTGTGGTTTTTCTTTTTTTAATTGGATTCTAAAAAAATGCCAGTGGTTCATTGCCTGTAAATGGACATAAAATAAACTAGTTGCAAATGACGTCTTTAAGATGCGGCGGAACCAGCTAGAAATGTATCAAAACATCTGGTTGTTGATCCATCCTGGTTTTATGACGCGAGACGCATTTTTGGTCTGACAGAAATGAATGTTTATGGTAATCAAGTGTTTAGCAAACAGTATTTTTCCTCCAATGATATGACGCATTTATCTTCCTTTCTTCAGCGTGTGTGCAAAACGCTTCCATTTCACAACATCAGCGCATTCCGCTGCATGTGACAAATTACCGAGCAGCTACAAACTCGTCTAATGTAATTTTCCCCCCCTTTTTTTTATATGTATATATATATATATATATTTTTTTTATTATTTGGATAAATCACCGAGGTCCACACGAACACACACACACATATGCATCTATTATTGATGCATATGTGTGTGAGGTGGGGGTGGGGGGGGGGCTTGTTTCCATTTCCAAACTCGTGCCACATTAGCAGTTTTCCTGCTGACATGTTTATTTACCCGAGTAATAAGTCTCACCTCAGGACTCGCCTCAGCTAATTGAAGGCGAAGTCTTTTTTTTTTTTCATTACGACACCAACATCCAATCAACTCCAAACGCGACAGCCCTCATCAATCAGCCTGCGACGCACCTTCCGTAAACAACCGCAACCTCCGCTCAGAGATCTTTTATATTCCCAAATCATTCCATTAATAAGTCAGCCGATGCCATTTCGCTGATTTACTCTGGCAGGGGGAAGAAAAAAAAAAAAAGCATGTGTTTAATATGTCGTTTGGAAAGCTGGGCTTTTGCTTGTATTGTTAACAAGCCATTACGATGAATGATGTGGCCATTGCCCTGGTGCAATGAGTGGGGGGGGGGGTGTCTTCTGGTTTGAGGGGGGTTTCTTTTCTCGATTTGACGACACACATTTGCTATTATCATCGCTGTGACATTGCCAGTTGGTAGATGCTGGTTGGTATTTCGAATGCACGCATGCGTCCTTCAAAGTGCCGTTCTGGAACGTCTAAGAGGGGGGTAATTCGTTCGGCAGGCGACGCACATTCATGTCAGAGTGTTCATTAAGCTAAGCGTAGATGTAGCTGGTGATAAAAGTGGCCATTAAATTAGCAACGGCCTCCGAAGCAATTCAAGAGCTTACGCGAGCTTCCCCACCCAAAAAAAAAAGGACAAACTATGACAACGGAAAAGGCTCCATCCCCTCTGAGCCTCCACTAAGTTCTTGGTATCTTCAATAGTGTCTCCTCTGCAGCCCTGAGGCACTGGGTGGGGAGCTCAGAGAGCTCAGTTGTGGCCAGGCCACTTCAAGATTTGAAAACAACTTTTGCTAGCCATTGATTTTGACTGAGACCAATCTTTCCTGATCTTTTCAGCTGGATCGCCAGTCGCAATTCATCCAAGGCTACAGAGTTCTATACAGGCAAACGTCAGGGCTGCCCTCGCCGGGACACTGGCAGACGCAGGACGTGAAGGTGCCATCGGAGCGTACCGCCGTCCTGTCGTCTCTGAAGAAGGGCATCGTGTATGAGATCAAGGCGCGGCCTTACTTCAACGACTTCCAAGGCATGGACAGCGAATCCAAGACGGCGCGGACCACCGAGGAAGGTAACGGCTTAGACTGATGCGCTTCGTTGCGCGATGTGACGGCTGACTCATGACCACCCCAGGCGGGCGTTTGTCATCTCTCTCGGATACTGAGACAAAATACGTGTTTTTTTTTTTTTTTTTTTGTTGTTTTTGCCTGCCGTGACTTTTTTTTTTTCCCAGGGAGTTGTTTACAAGTGTGTGTGGGGCGTTTGTGTATCCTGACTGCTAATCCATCACCCGGCAGGCGCGGGCCTGAGGTGTGATTGGAGGATGAACGCAGACTGTCATGTGAGGATGACGGGCGCCTGTGATTCAGACAAGCTTTGACAAGGCCACGGAGCGGCGTGGCGCACCAAAACAAGTCTGCGCACGGTGGAACTTTTGACCCACGTCGGAAATTGCTTTTTGTGTACGCAGTGTAGCATAAACCCAAAAACGACTGATTCCAACTTTTTCAGACTGCCCAAGACTCACTTGCGAGGTAGCGCCCCCTGGAAAGTTAAGAAATTTAGCATCGGTCACCAATTTGACCCATTGACCCAAGCCTGAAAGTTGACAGGCTATTTTGATTTTTAGCAGACGTTGTGGGCCAATTCCGAGGCGAGTAATCGTTCAGATCAGAAGCAGGTATACTTGAGAGAACGTTTTTTTTTTTTTTTTCTTGTCTATGTCATCTAATTTAGGCGGAGAAATGAAGTCAAAGTTTCATGATTATTTTGGGAGAAATAAAAAAATAAAATCTAGATGGAATGTGTTATCACCAACTCAGGCATATGTTGCGCTCAGTTAAACGTCGGAAAATGCGAAAGAGAAAAAGTGACAGAAATATCGATTGTCGTTTTTATTCATAGGATGAAAGACAAACATGTTTTGAAGCTAATCTGAACCCCCGAGGATCGAAAATGCGCATTTGAAAACTGAAAACGAGCTGGGGTACGCAGATCAATTTTGCTAAGATGTACATGAAACGTGCTTCATTTAGGCCCCGCCCCTCCTCCCCCGACCAAAAACTCAATGTTCATCTTTGCCGACATAAGCCTGATTTTGTCAAAACACATTACGTTTCTCACACTAGTTATGGTAGAACGTCACGGCATCAAATCCTGGCAGCAAAGACGTAAATGCTAACTTCCTTAGCATCCGCACAAGGTGGAATTCTCAATTTTACGCTCAATTGAAACCGCTCCGGAGGGATTTGGCTGAGGAATAATGAAGTTTCCCGCTGCCCAAATGAGTTGTGAGCAAAGTTGTTGTTTCTTTCCCTTTTTTTTTTGAAGCAAAATAGCTCGGGTGGGAGCGGCTTGCTATCACCCCCTCGAGTTGCATTGCGGTATTTCCATACAATTAGTCAAATATGTCTTTGTCAGGCTTGCGCAATGTCGTGAACGCAGGGGATTTTCCAAACATGTTCTTGGCCCCCGCTTTTGAAAAGTCACTCCTTTAATTGCACTGTTGCGGTTGCGCTTGAACAGAATCAGTCATCGGTGCTGTCGGCCGTCAAATATTCGTCACTTGCTTATGCTGCAGGCTTGTGCTTGTGCCTCGTCTTTTTTTTTCTATGTTGGTACATACGTCAAGTTGTTTTTGTTCATTCTCATGATTTCTACAATGCAACCTTATATAGTGTGCGGTTGATATCGGCTAATTCTAATTTGTGTCTTCAACAACACCGGAGCTTCGCTTTGAATAGTCGACAATCTCATGAAAAAGAGGATCGATCGTAATTGCTCTCATTTTATGACAGTCCATTGTTGCCTGGTGTGCGTGTCGTGTCGCTTTATGGTAGTGAATTATTTCTCGTAGTTCTATTTATTTCTATTGTGCGCAATTTCAACTTCAAAGTTAAATACAACTGAACTGTGCTTAGGCAGCCCACCCAGCGCACATGGACTGTCCTCAAGGCTCTGTTTATTGCAAGGCTGCAGCTCTTATGTATATAAACTGGCCGCCATCTTTGTGGAATTTCCTAAAAAACACAAAGAGCGTTTCTAAAATTCTCCATTAAAAACAAAATGTCCGACGAATGTACATGGCTCATTGTACGGCACACACTGCTCTGGCAATTCACGTTTCATGTACGCTATTTAAATACAGTACTTTTTTTTTTTCGGATGGGGGGGGGGTCAAATGACATTGTTTTTAAATGTCACTTGTCAGCCAGTTGGAGAAGCGTTCCCCCAACGGTTGAAGTCAGAAATAATGACATTTTACCATTTCAGCTCTATTTGGAAGGCACTTTTGGGACAGATATTGTGATAATGGACCCCCCCCCCCTCCAAAAAAAAAAAAAATCCTCAAAAAGGCCAAAACAAATCTGACAAAGACTCAGTTTCTCTGGAATCGTCCGATTTTCAAACTTGTCATTGCGTTGCCCTCAGGCTGAAGTGCTCATTCCACTCAGAATCAATATTTTGCATCCTTTTCATTTTTGGTAACTCTTGTCGCGATGCTAATTCTCGTGAATGAGGCAGTAGAGAGTCACGTAGCAAATTCTAGTGATTCGGCAGAAGTGAATGATGATTAACTGCATTCGCGATCACTCACTCATTCCTTTCCCTTGAATCACGACAAAGAGATTTTTTTTGGTGGACATTTTGGGAGCGATCTCGGTGCACAAGTTGAAGAGGCAAATTGAGAAATCTTGTCAGGTTGCTCTTCGGAGTCATTAGACTATCACGCTTCCGTTACGAGTCGCCTTGAAAGCTCCGGGAACAGCGTGAAGGCGACGGTCAGGTTTTTGTGGCGACCAAAGGCCATCTCGCCTCAGCGCACGGAGGCTCGTGTGTGTTTGTTCACATCCCGTCAGGATGACAGGTCCATTTATTTCCCACCGTTCCTCCAAGGGACCGACCGTGTCTCCGGTGTAGCGGTGTGCAGACCGCTCTAGCGGAACTGTCGTCAAACGCGGGAGAAAACGACGACGAGAAAGCACGCCAAGCCGCCTCCCCCCAAGGCCCGCCGGAAACCTGCATGTCGGCGCCATGACAAGCGGAGATAACTCTTCCCGCTTTAGCTCTTTCTGCATCTGGGTCCCTCGGAGTGATCGACCGCTTTCTATTTTGGTCCCAAACCCCCTGCCGTCAAGCCCGCTCCGAGCCGGCGGGCCGTCCGAGATGGCGGCTCGCCGGCTCCTCCGAGACACCGCGGGATGCTGGATGGAGAAGTCAGGTTTTGGGAGCGATTAAAACTTAGCGCCGAGCATTAGCTAGCGCGCTTACAGATTTCCCTTGCAGTGGGTCGCTGATGGTTCCGTTGTTCTGCGAGGATGGCAAGAGTGGCCCGCGCTGGCGTTTGATTCTTATTTCCCAAGATGGTCTATTGGAGAGCGAGCAAAGATTAAAGCGGGCCCCCGCACGACGAAGCCTCGCAACGATCGTCAAACGTTCACGGCAGGGTACACCGCGCACAAAAACCTTCACGTAATTTGCCGTCGCTTCTTTGTCTCGGACAGGAGTGGGACGCATAATTATTCCACCGTGAGGAACCATCGCATTAATCATGACATGGCACAAGCGCATGTGTCTGGGCCGTCTGCGGAATTTTGTCAACTTGACGATTTATTCCCATTCCTTCTTTTATTTCCGTTGCGCAAGAGGGTTTAGCGTGAGTTAGCGTGGCCGACCGGCACGGCCTGGTTCTTGGGCCCCCGATGAGCAACTCCCTTTTTCCCCCCCGCATATGCGTTTCCGCGCGCGTGCACGCCCGCGATATGATTAGTTTGTATTTCTTCATTATCCAGAACGGCGTTGGCGCCGACGTGAGAGACAGGAGGTCACATTCGCGGCTGCCGTACATCACGCGGCTAATGGCTCTATTAGCGCCCCCTCTGAGGGCGGGCTCTAATGAAAAATGGGAATTGTTTAGCGCAAATATGCATGCTAATAAGCCGCTAAATCATTCATACCATTAACTTTGAACGACATTGCCCGCCGCACGCCGAGCCCCGCCGCACCGTCACCTGCGCCGAATGCGGCCGTTTGATCAGATTCTCCTCGGGTAGATTGTTTCTAATCTGCTCGAGGTGGCGGCTTCATAACGGGGCCCATTCATCTCGGGAACCCGAGGCCAGCGGCGCTGAGGGATGAGCTCAGATTTACTGGCTGACAAGTGCCATTGTGGATGGAGGCGAGGTGAGCGAGAGCCGGCGCGCGAGTAATTGACCTGTCAGGATTGGGAGCTTTTGCTTCCGCCCCGCTGCGGAAATGAGAAAACATGACTTTTCATACTTTGCGTTGCCAAACTGCTGTTTATTTCCCCATCTCTGTGGCGGGCCTTCGAAAAACAAAAGCGTTCACCACACCAAGGTGGAGACAATAAGCCCGCCATCATCGGGCGTATGAGATGAAATTCAGCGTGTAAGGACCGAGCCCTGACGGAAAATGTGAAGTATGTCGCAACCCAGCCCCCCCCCTACGGCACAAATGAAAATCTTTCCCTAACTTCAACATAGTTGCTTGGCACCATATCATTATTTATTTGCAATGAACTATATGTGGCAACTGTCAATCTCCCGCTCCGTCCCATCTCCCTCGTGAACAAGACCCCGAATTTCATGAGTCGTTGTCTCCCGATTGTTCACAGCTCCCAGCGCGCCCCCTCAGCAGGTTACCGTCCTCACCGTTGGAAACCAGAACAGCACTTCGATCAGCATCTCCTGGGACCCCCCTCCACCGGACCATCAGAACGGTATCGTCCAAGAGTACAAGGTAGAGTTCACAGCGCGCCAAAGCCAAGACTCCGCGGCTATGCGGCACAACCCCGATGGTCTTTCTTCAACGTCTCTTTCTTGGCCTGCAGATCTGGTGCCTCGGGAACGAGACGCGCTTCCACGTCAACAAGACGGTGGACGCCGCCATTCGCTCGGTGGTGGTGGGCGGGCTGCAGGTGGGCGTGTTGTACCACGTGGAAGTGGCCGCCAGCACCGGCGCCGGGGTGGGAGTCAGGAGCGAACCCCAGTCCATTATTATTGGTAAGGACTTTGGACAAAGAAAAAAAAAATCTCCATACACGCAGACTTCTTTACAGGCTCGGGTTTCAAGCCTTGGGTTCGGCTTTCCAACAAGGAACTTTGAAGTCGGGGCTATTTTTTTAAGCAAGGGTTACGGTTTCAAGCACGTGAGAGAATTTCAAGAAAAAGTTCAGGGCTCCCAAAAATGGCTTCGATTTGAAAGGAGGTTTTCAAGGCAGGTTTGGGCTTGCGAATTTGGGTTTCCTGCCAAGGTACGAGTTTCAAAGTAGGGTTTCAAGCCTTGTCTTGGGTTTCAAAAAGGGGTTAGGGTTTGACCTCGGTTTGCGGTTTTAAAGTAGCATTTGAAGCCTTTGTCTGGGTTTCAAACGAGGGTCTCACGTCACAATTTGGGGATTCAGAGTCCAGCCTTGGTGAAGGTTTCAAACAAGGGTTTCGGGTTTCAAATGTGGTGTAAAGGGTTTCATTTGTGCTTTCAAAGCAAGCCTAGTTTTTCAAAGCAGGCTTTGAAGCTTGCTCGAGATGAAAGCTCAGGTGTACCTAATGAAGTGTCCACTGGGCTTTCCTGTGCTCCCCCGCCCCCAACCGCCCCAATTATGATCCCAAACTCCGACTGCCTTATTTCCCCAGCGTGACTCCCAACACAGCCCGGATCTCTCGTGGCAGTGCGCCGTCAAAAAGTGTCAAGCGCGTGAACGGGCCCGGACACGGCGCGGCCATCGACCCATCCGTTCGCCGGCTTTGCTTTGCCGTCGCAACGTTTCAGCAGCCTTGGAGTGAATTAGAGAAGCCCGGCTTGGCAAACAAGCGGCTCACCTGGGGATTTTTGTCTTATAAGCTTTGTTTGTTTCCACCTGCAGTATATTGCGCCGCACATCCTCGTGACTCCGTTTCACTCCCCCCCTCCCCCTCTTTGGTCGATATCTCTCACAGAAAATCATTGGGCATTCTCCGAGGTTAATCAATGTCCTGACTCCCATTTCCTCACCACTCGGATTGCTTCTGCATCGTCGCAGCACGAGGGCCGCATGGCAAAGCGTTGCCGGTTCCAAGTCCGTCCGGGGTTGCTTCTTCTCAGGAGGCCTGAATTGGAACGGGCAACAAAATGGAGTTTCAAGACCGGGTCGGCGGTCCGAGTGTGGGGTTGAAATTCAAGGCCAGGGATTGCAATTCGGGTTTCTAATGAGGGTTGGAGCAAGCATTCGGGTTTGAAATTCTTGGCTTTGGGTTGAAAATTGTGGATTTAAGGCAGGGTTCCTGTTTCAAGTTCGGGGTGGCCGAGTTGATCGTTCGATACAAGCTCTTTTTCGATTATTTCCCCCCCAAGCGTATGAATACATTTCAGCGAACTTAAGGCCTTCCGTCTGTCCGCCAGGCAAGGCCTTCCAGGACGTGATCATCCACGGCAACCGCAACAACAGCATCACGGAGCAGATCACCGACGTGGTCAAGCAGCCCGCCTTCATCGCCGGAATCGGGGGCGCCTGCTGGGTCATCCTCATGGGCTTCAGCATCTGGCTCTACTGGCGCAGGAAGAAGAGGAAGGGCCTGAGCAACTACGCAGGTCAGGACCCCCCCCCCGACCCTCGTACCACCGCCGCCGCCCGACGGGCGTTGTCGGTTCATAGCCGTCGGTCGGTCACACTCACCGTGCTCTCTCCGGCGTCTTCGAGTCTCCTTCCTCGCAGTTTTTCCTTGAGCGCCACCCCTCACCCAGCCTTTCTCGGCAAGTCTGAATGAGCGGTCAGGACTGGGCGAGGCGGAATAAAAAAAGGAAGCCTCGCGATCGGACAGTCTCCCTTTTTTTCTTTTTTTTTTCTTTTAATAAGCGCCATGGCAGCTTGTGTGACGCTGTTCATTTGTGTTTGTGACATTTTGGTGTTTTCTTCAGTCTGCCGCTGCTTTCGTATCACCTCTGGCTGCTTTCCTGCCTCGACCGAGCGCTGTACACGGATGGGATGTTACGCAAGGCATCTTTGAAGGGGCTGGGTTGCCAGCGGGTGGCTTTGTTTGGTTCAAAGCAGTCTTCATTTCGGTTGTAGACTTGCAAAATAGTGATAGTTCTCAAGATACATTTAGGGTTTCAAAGTCGAGGTTTCAATTAGGGATCGATGAGTATCGATACTATCTATCGGCATCCTGCACACAACAGCCTTTGTTGAATGTGTCATGAAGGCTGCCGATACCAACCGCCGATACTTCTGACAAAATAATCTGACGTCCTGCTCACCAGTTTGAAATGATTATGTGCACCCAAAGGAAAGACCCATCTTTATTTACAAATATCCAACCAAAGTACTGGTAGAATCAGTACTCAGTGTGGCTGAGTAATCACGTGAATACAGTACTTGGAACATCCCGAGTTTCACGTCGAGCAAGAACTCTGGTTTCAAAGAAATCTTATTTTAGGAAGAGGGTTTGAAGGCAGGGCTATGGTTTCACGTGTGGGTCTCAAAGCCTGGGTTGCTGTTTTCAACGGAGAAGGCTCTCAAGCCAGCGTTGATTGGTTGATCGATCTCATACCCGGAATGGCCCCAACAGGCCTTCACGCTTGGCCTAAGCGTGGCCTAGCCTAGCCACCAGTGTACAGAGCGGCAGCCACAGCAGCCAGCCCACCCCCACCTCACCCAAAGCGGCGCCTCCCTCTGCAGCCTTTAACACACAACCTCTCTGTCTTCTTGTTTTGCAGTTCAGTCCTTCACCTTCACCCCTGCAGGTACTGTTCATTTGTCCTTTCCCCCGGCCCCCTTTCTGCCCGCTTAATCGATGCGCCAGGCTAATGGTCATGGCTAATGCTAATCTGACAAAGACGACGGAGCAGCGGTGGGCAAAGCAAGACCCACTGGGCTTTTCAAATAGGAGGGTCAATATTTTAGCCATTTTTCCTTTGTATTTGTTTCATTGCAATAAGTTGATAAATCTTTATATTGATTTCGTATGGCTTTGTCAAGTCAAGTCACATTCATTTCTATAGCCTTTAATCGCAGTCTCCAAGGGCTTCTTCACAATTGAGGCAAGGGAAACCCCCCCAAAAAAACCCATCTGGAGAAAAATGTGAAACCTTGAGAAGGGGCCCGCAGACGGAAGAATCCCCCGCCTTCCAGGATGAGCAGGCTGCAATGGATGCTGATTGATTGCTAGTTTTATGATTTATGTCAAATAATACGAGTATGCACGGCCTTAAACGTGGTCAGCGTTGGGTTCAACGATAAAATAAAAAATTGGACGAATTGAAAGTACTTTTTCAACCTCGTCTACGGGCCCCCATCTGTCTGTTTTCAAAATCAAATGTGCTAAGCCAAATGATTTGCCCGCCCCTGCTCTCAAGTGACTTGACATATCAAAGATTGCGCATCGGCTGTGACCCAAAAGCTTCGCAAAGCCCTTCTGAGGTGTTGGCATACTTTGTTGTGGTTGTCTGTGTGTGTGTGTGTGTGTG